TACCTATAAATGTGAGCCTGTCTAGAAATAAGAGGTCCACCCCATGGCTCTACACCAGACACACACCATATGGAAACTGCTGCAAGTTAAGGAACACCCAAAGCCACTGACAAGGAAGGAATCAATGCAGGTGACCCACCGATTCCGACTCTGAGCCTCCAGAACTGTGAGAAAATCGATTTCTGCTCTTTAAAGCCATTGATGTGTGGCGTCTGTGTTCCAGTGACCCTAGCTCACTGAGGAGGTTCTGTCTCTTGGGAATTTGTGTACGTCACAGATTTCAAGAGCAAATCCGTACTGGCAGGTCCTGGGAGTCAAGGGGCTTCACGTCAACTGGTATAGAATGCTCCTTTGTGTCTGTGTTTTTTCAGTTTCTTAAAATAAATGTCAAGAAGAATACAGGACACCATGGCCCTTCCTTGGTCACCCTGCAAGCCTGGAATTCAACTCACCCCTCTGGCTCAACAATTTTGTTGTTGTTATGTGCCGTGGAGTCGGTTCTGACTGATAGCAATCCTGTATAGGGTTTCTGAGGCTGTAAATCTTTACGGGAGCAGAATGCCTCATCTTTCTCCCACAGAGCAGCTGGTAGTTTTGAACTGCTGACTCTGGGGATAACAACCCAATGTGTAACCACTACACTACCAGAGTTCCTTGGCTCAACATGAGAGACAGGCCTATAAGGTGAGCAACCACACCAGCAAAGTACGTACTCCTTTAGAAAATTCAACCATCTGAGACACAAAGGGCAGCATTTTCCCAGGAAGAAAACTCAGAAGGCCAGAAGAGACGGGAGAGGAGGAGGAATGGAAACAGGAAACTCAGGGAGGAAGTGGGAAGAGTGCTGTTACATTGTGGGGAACGCAATCTATGTCACGAAACAAAACGTGTCTGAATGGAAAAAAACAATCTATGCTATAGACTTCGGCTCAAATCAAAATAAAAAGTTTTCAAAGAATGAGTAAGGTCTTTATGAGCAGATGAGGAGGGAGGATTCCCAGGAGAGATTAGTAATTGAAAAAGAGGAGGTAAGAGAATGCACATGTACCAGCTCATTTGTGCAACAGAAATACAGAAAGGGAAATCTAGACGCTGGTAATCAATGAGGGTAGGTGGGAAGGGAAGGGGAGAAGGGACAGGGTAGACGTTTGTCTGACTGCCCTCTTCTACAGCTCAGACTCTTACAACCATAGTTGTTATAGTTAAGTGCCATAAAGTCTGTTCCAACCCATAGGGACCATGTGTAGGGTTTCCAAAGAGTGCCTGGTGAGCTTGAAGCGCCAACCTTGCAGTCCAGCGCATTAACCCACAGCGCCACACTAGGACTCCATACAACTATAGTGAGGCGTCAGATACCAAAAATAAATGCATAAAATTGTCCGAGATGTGGAGTGAAAACAGATGTGGATAGTGGTGGTGGTGGTGATATGCCGTGGAGTTGGTTCCGACTCATAGCAACCCTATACAGGGTTTCCGAGGCTATACATTTTTATGGGAGCAGAAAGTCTCATCTTTCTCCTACAGAACAGCTGGTAGTTTTGAACTGCTGACCTTGCGATTCGCAGCCCGACTCGTAACCATTACAGTAGCAGAGCTCCTACAGGGAATATTAAGCAGTAACAAATGGACCTAAGTGCATCACAGGTGCACCCTAAAGGAGGTGGGGGAGAAAAAAATGCTCATATGTGTGAGAGTTAAGGTTCTGTGTCAGCGTGGATGGACCAGGATTCTCAGTGGTGTGGTGTGGTAGCTGAAATACAGTCATCCTCATGATGATATCAACTATGATGCAATTATCCCATGATGAGATCTACTATGAGCAATTAATCAGCTGAAAGGAAGTTTCCTCAGGGGTGTGGCCTGCAACACCTTTTATCTTACAAGACATACAAGAAGAGAGCCATGAGCAGAAAAGGAGGGACCTACTGCCCTCAAGAAGGAAGATCTAGGAGTGGAGGGTGTCCTTTGGACCTGGGGTCCCTGCACGGGGAAGCTCCTCGGCCCAGGGAGACTGATGCCAAGACACACGGAGCTCTCCAGGGAATGATAGGGCTACAGGTGCTGACCGGAGACAAGGACCTTTCTCCAGATCCCAACGCTCTGCATTTGGACTTCTGCCTCCTAAACTGCGAGACAATAAGCTTCTTTTTGTTAAAGCCAGCACTCACGGTGTTTCTGTTTTAGCAGCACTAGAGAACAAAGACATCAGGTAAGTCTGACAAACAGTATTTTGACTGGATACCATGAGGCCAAAACCAAGAAAACTCTACTGAAGTATTAGACCCTAACCAGTAAATGTGCTTCTCATGGGGTAATAGGTCAGCAGCTCTGAGATGGAGCTACGTGCACACTCTGATTGGACAAATATGTAAATGTACTGTGGGTGCCGAGAGCCCGGTGCCTCACTGTAACGGGAAGGAAAGGAGGAAGAAAGGGTGCAAAGAGGAAAGCCTGCAGTGTGGAGCAGGAATCAGTAGGAACTCGCTGCTCTTGGTCCAGATACAAGTAGGCAGCTCTAGAAATAGAGATGTGCTGCCTGTCAGCTCTTGGAAGGCCTAGGAGGACTGACACCCCAGGAATACCAGGTACACCCAGCACCCAGCACCCAGGTCTTGGGCTACACAGACACATGCCTCAGCTCTGGGAGGGCCTAGGAGGATTGACACCCCAGGAACACCAAGCACACCCAACACCCAGCTCATGGTTTCTAAATACTCTTCTCCAATAACAGGAACCAGGGCTCCTTAGAGAACTAACTGGTCGATCCCAGGGCAGGGGCTGGGGCAGGGAAAAGACCAGATGAGCATTGAGTGGGGACAGGAGTAGTATGCGAAAAAGCACAAAATTCAACCTGAACACAGACCCAGTGGCCAAGTGGGGAATAACTGAAGCATCTAATGAGCAGTGGACACTAAGGCAGTCAGTCAATCATGAGAATTCATAGTGGTCACCGGGGACAGGTGGGTGGGAAATGAGACGAGCCTGCTTAAGAGGCGCTGAGTTCCTGGTGGGAAAAACTAGGACCAGATTGCAGCGATGGCTGCACAACACAGGGAACGTTGTTTAAGACACAGAACTCGACACGTGCAAACGATGAAACTGGCAAATGTTTTGCTATATGTCATTCACCACAGTGCAAATAATAGACAGAGAAAGAAGCGATGGGCAGAAGGTAGTAAGGTTGGACTGGACTACAACTGTGGAGGGAAATTCGTATCCACACATTCATACTGACACAAGCAAATAGCGGAATAAATTAACCAGTGGGAAAAGGACCTTTCTCACAGAAGATTGCAATTCACAAAAGCAGAAGGAGCAAAACCCAAAAAACCAAACTCCCAGGCATCACCACAGTCCTATAGGACAGAGTAGAACTGCCCCATAGGTTTTCCAAGGTTGGAAATCTTTATGGAAGCAACTGGCTGGAGAGCTTGAACCACTGACCTTTCAATTGGCAACCCACTGCTTAACCTACTGCGCCACAGGGGTAGCTGCTAGCATTAGCCGGAGAAAGTGTGATGGGACATGGGAGTGATCCGCAGAGTCCCAAAGTATCTCTCCCCAAAGTATACTGATGGATTAGAAAGGAAACAGCAGTACCTTTACTGGGGAGACAGCTGGAAGCCACTGCGGAAACCAAGCCAAACACCGGATCAAGGTCGACATCTCCAGTAATAAAACACAAGGTCACGTACTCCTGCTAGAATGCACTGAGATTCGGACAGAAATGCATTATCTCAAGAGAATCAGGAGAACACACTAGATGCATCCAAACCGAGGCTTTAAAAGTGTCGGGGCCGTGACAGCCAAGGAGAGACAGAGAGTGACACAAGCAGAGGGTTGATGAGACGTCACAACTGAACAACTGAACCAGGGTGAGGGAAAGGACTTGCCGTGGACTGAATTGCGCTCCCCCAAAATATGTGTCCGCTTGGCTGGGCAGTGATTCTCAACGGTTGACAGTTATATAATGTGATGTGACCTTGATGTGATCTGACGCAATAGCCAGTAAGAGCATTAAGGGATCCGAAGGACCTGCTACCACCAAGAACGAGCTTGGAGTGCATCCTTTGGCCCTTGGATCCAGAGGAAGACTGATGCCAAGACATACAGAGGACTCCGACGAGCCTTGGACCTACAGATGCTAAAAGGAGACAAGGACCTTTCTCCAGACTTGTGCTCTGAGTTCGGACTTCTAGCCTACACTGAGAGGATAACTTTGTTTGTTAAAGGCACCTCTGATGGTATTTCTGTTAGAGCAGCACTAGAGAATGAAGATGGGGCATTAGTGAGAAAACCAGCGCCAGTCAAAGGGCAGTGGATCAGTCCTTAGTACAGTTTTGTTGAACACGTTTTGGTAACTGTACTGTGGTTAATACCCAGTGCTAATATTAGGGGAAGCTGGGTTAAGGGTAAGGAGTCCTGGTGCTACAGTGGGTTAAGTGCTGGGCTGTGAACCAAAAGGGCAGTGTTTCAAACCCACTTTGGGAGAAAGATGTGGCAGTCTGCTTCTATAAGAACCACAGTCTCAGAAACCCTACAGAGCAGCTCCTATAGGGTCGCTACAGTCAGAATCCACTATACAGCAGTGGTTTTAAGGGGATTTGGGAATTCTGAGTTATTTCTTTTTGAAACTTTTCTAAGACTATCATTATTTCAAAACCAAGTTTTAAAAAAGAGAGAGACCTAATTGCTGTGTGCTCTCCATAGAGGAGTGTTTCTGCCCAAATGTGGACAAGCACAGAATATTCTTGCACCTCAGGGGTAGGCTCCAGCTACCCAGAAGGTTAGCACCATGGTGGAGAAGGCCTGGGCCAATGAGATGCTCATGGATGGGGAGACCCAGGCCTTGTTCTTATCCCAGCAAAGAGCTAGTCTCTGTCTATTCTGTTTCTGAATTCTGTCACCCAAATCTGGGCACGTACATCAGTCCTATCAGCAGCGGTCGTGTAGCCATGCTTGTGACAAGGACAAACAGGTGACGTCCTCTCCCCACTCACCTCCGAAGCAGGGACTGCTGCAGGCTCTTGCAGGTGGCCAGGGACTCCCCGGTGAACATGTGGCACACGACAAGGTGCAGGCAGCGGCCCATGAAGGCCAGCACGGCATCAGGCTGCAGTGTGCCGCTGCGGGAGACCAGACACAGGCGCTGCAGGCAGGAACACTGGCTCAGCGCCTGGAAGAACTGCGCGTTGGCGCTGAAGTAGGGCTGCTCAAGCCTGCGGGGATAGAGGGACAGAGTGAAAGGATGGATGGATGGACAGAATGAATATGAGGGAAGCCACCCAGATGCCCCCACATCTGCAGTCACTCCCACCCTCTCCCCACTTGGGGATCCTGAGCTGGGGGAGAGAATGTGGGCATGAAGCTACAGACCCAGCTGAGGGTCCTTGGCTTGTGTTGGTCCTGCCACCCACTCAGTGCACCCGCCTGATGAGGCCTCTGGCAGCCCCAGCCCTTCTAAAACATAGACACACTGTAAGAGGGACTAGGGGAAATGCAAAACGAATTTCAAATTCTCATAGAACTTTCTGGAGTCGTTGACACTAGACAGAACCATGGAACTATTGTCCTGAAAAACTACAGGCCTGGACTCCAGCCAGGGCAGAAAGGTGGGGATGGTCAAATGGGTGAGCAGTCAAGTGGGCCAGGCTCAGGACTTACAACCTCAGGTTCTAGAAAGGTGGGTGGGAGGAGGCAAGACTACAGAGCAGCAAACACTGACACCTCCTGGAAGAGTCTGACCTCAGCTATGAAGACAGATGATAGGGAGGTGGGGGAGGGGGGGGGACCTGGCAGGGAAGTGTCAGGGTTCCTCCTGCAGGATTCCGTTCACTCAGACAGGTGCAGTGAAGATGGGGGGAACACAGTGCTTGAGTGGGCTTAGAAGAAATATACAGAGGGTGAGGCTGCTGGCTAGAAGCATGGTGCCGGACACTGAAGAGCACACCGAGGCTGTGAAAGGTGCAGGCTGCAGGTGTATGAGCTCACTGGGGCTGAGAGTCGCAGATGGGAGACACACAGAAAAGGCTTGCCCCAGGCTTTCTGCTGAAGCTCCAAACACGATCTTATTTGGGAAAAGGGTCTTGGCAGGTGTAATTCAATAAAGATGCGGTCAGGTTGGAGTGGGGTGGTGCTCCCGCCCAAAGACTAGCAGGTGTTCCTTAAGAGGAGATCAACAAAGATTCTATATAAGAATCTTGATCAAAGGGGTGGGGGGATGTAGAAGAGAACTTCCAACTTCTTGAACAATCCAGACTTCTGGATTTATGGAGCCTGGGTGAACCGCTGACACTATTGTACTGAGATCATCTTTAAAAATTAAACCAAAACTATCCTTTGAAGGCTTCTTTGAACCAAAAGTACATATGTATCAAGTAAGACTGCTTTGAGTTCTGTGCTCCTTGAAAGAATTATCTGTTGTTGTTGTTGTTGTTATGTGCCGTGGAGTAGGTTCCGACTCATAGTGACCTTGAACAGGGTTTCCGAGGCTGTTAATCTGACTCATAGTGACCCTGAACAGGGTTTCCGAGGCTGTTAATCTGACTCATAGTGACCCTGAACAGGGTTTCCAAGGCTGTTAATCTTTACGGGAGCAGAACGCCTCAGCTTTCTCCCGCGGAGCAGCTGGTAGTTTCGAACTACTGACCTTGCGGTTCACAGCCCGATTCGTAACCACTACGCTACCAGAGCTACATGAGCTCCAATTCACAGCAGCAACTGGGAAGGGAAGACTGAAGTGGGTGTAAGCTGGGGCAATGGAGCTGTGTGAAACATTGTGGAGAATGATAGCCTGACTTGAAGACTGGAACCCATTTCATGGAACTTTACATGCAGAAACTGTTGAAAGGGTATGTCTCTGTGAACACTTTCACCAAAATAACAATGATACTACTAATAATAATGAATTAAAATGGGACAAACAAGAAGCAACAAAACAGAAATACAGACAGGAAGAAGGCGATGAGAAGAATGAATTCATGGAATGAGTTTCATCCTTCAAGAAACAGTGGGGAGGAATTCAGATAGACTAGCAGAGACCAGACCCCAGTTAAAGAGGGCAGTGGCTGTGTGACACTCTAAGATGCCTGCGTTAAGGGCAGCCCAGAGAACCATCCAGAGGCATTTCTACTATTGAGCTGAGTTTTGAGAGGCTCATTTGTTCTCCTGAAAAAGCCTGAACACATCACAGGCAGACCTCAGCTTATCAGGCTTTATTTACTGCGCTTCACAGAGACAATGTCATTTTCGTTATTTTGTTGTTGTTTTTTTACAAATGGGAGGATTGTGGCAGCCTTCCATCAAGCATCTCTTATCAACAATGCTTTTCCAAGCAGCATGCTCACTTCGTGTCTGTGTCCCCTGTTGGTCATTCTCACAATATTTCATGCTTTTTCCTCATGCTGTGGCACACTACATAGATGGCAGTCTATTGCCAACCTCTTTTTTATCTGTACTGGGGAAACCATAAAACGTGTGTGTCTCACAATCAATAAATACAAGGTATGCCTCTACTAATGTCTATCTTTTAAAAAGATCTTTAAA